TTCTCCATGATTTATTTGTCAATGTAAGGTGATCTGGTAAAATGATAATTTACCGCGTTTTTTGACAACAGTTTGAGAATCATTGATCTATTGAATACATTCACACGAATTGAACTCATACATTGAAAACCGACAGACTTCTCACGGCTTCAACCGTTTCAAGGCGCGCTTCGGCCAACGTTTGTTTCAGTATTGTAACGACTTCTGACAAAGTAACATATAAATGCAACGAATTTTAATTAATTATATATATTTTTATTATTTCATTAATTAAATATATCGTTTAGTTTATTATAAAAATAAAAATATAACCGTTAAGTTTAAATAAATGTGCAACTAGGATAAAATTGTTTAAGTTTTAAACGCACATGTGCTCCGTTTGTAAATGTCAGTTGCTTCTGAGACTCCGAGGCGGAGTTGGTACTTGTTGAAAAGTGTTAGTTGAAATCTCATACCAAAATTATAAAAGTATTCTATATAAAGTTGGTTTTTTCTATAAATGTGTAATAAATTTATTAATTGTTGATTTTTTTGAAACAAAAGTGTGATCTCTCAAACGTTTTGTTACCGTTTTTTTGATACTGTTAAATATTTATGTTGGAAAAGTATACGTTGATTTAAAATAAAACAGCCATATCAATATTTAAATTTGTGCTGTTATATTAAATATTCAAATATTAATCGGGATTAGTGCAGTATTTGTATTGGAGACTCTTTTATAAAGCAGTAAGTAATCATTATTATTACTCATTTTATCTTAAATTTCAGGAATCTATTATATGTTATTAAAATTCAATTGCTTGATGACTAACAAAAATATACCGGGCGATGACTCGAATCACATACTGGTAAAAAATCACATACTGGTATTGACATGTCGAATATCCAATAAAATTCTTATAAATAGTAATACATAATTTTTAAATATAATGGAATCAGTGGTGCATGGCATTATGCCTTAGTTAGGCTAAATTGCTGGTACTCCTCGTAATTCATCATTAGAGGTTTAAACATATTATTAAATCATCAATCATTATTAAAAATTGACCATTTTTTTATTCTATTTTTTAAGATTATAAGATTTAGATTTTTAAGATTTAGATTTTGGTATTATTTTAATATTCTAAAAAATTTCCAAAATTGAAAAAACTTTTTTTTATATCTGATAATTTTTTTTTATGTGTTTGTCTTAAAATGTCAATTTTTAAAGCATCCAGATTTTCCACTGGACTTCCTTTTCCAAAAAATGCAATCAATCAATGCAATCGATGCAAGAAAAATGTTTTTGAATCATCCTAATCGGATGCTACACTACGAGAAGTTAAAGAGTCATCGCCGTTTAAAGTATCTATAGTCTATTCTATAGAATTTCTATTATCTTAAAATATTTAGCTATTTCCTGAAAAAATATGACAAACCTTTGCTATGATTGATAATGGTCTATTCACAAAACCAGTACCGAAGAACATTTTAACTAAAATATGTGATAAGCTATGAAATAATTGTAAAAAATTGAATATAGAATGCAATTTTAGGTTTATCAATAATGTATAAAAAACATATCAAAATCTTTACGATTAAGGCTTTATAAAGGGCGTCCATTAATCACGTCAGTTTATGGATTTTTTGACCCCCAACTCCATGCTGCCACCAAACATGATGTGTATTTTTAGTACCTAGAAAAATTGGTAATTTTTTTTTTTGATATTTTTGAAAAGTTTTGGAATTTTTTCTAAATCTAGATAGTAAATAAATACGTGTGATATCTCACTAAACCCCACCTCCAACTTATGATTTTTTCTGAGCGTTATTCGAGTCAAACATTTTCTCGATTTTCTTTCTTTTTAAAACGATTCTTGATAAAATCACATGTATCACAAGTAACTTTACAACACTTTCTTGAAGCACTATAAAATGAAAAAAAACTTCTGAAAAATATGATACTGTGAAATTTAGTTCTTTAGCTCATTATACTCCATCAGAACATGTGCCAACTAGTTACACCTGATACCTTATGATTTATTTTTATTACATAATTCCTTTATATGTATTATAAAAACTCGAATAAGAATATAAATATATACCTCTTTTTTACCACAATACAACCCTGTACTAAAAATGACGGTTATTCCATCAAGATATACAAGAATATAAACAGGTTTTCAGGGAGTCATATGGCGTTAGGGATGAATTCCATGAAAATGTTCAGCTGAGCATTACTGAACCAGCAACAAAATCGTTTAAGACATTAAAATGAACAAATTGTAAAGTTAAATTAACACCAATTAAGGCGAGGGCTGTTTAATTAATCTGCAAGCAAAAACAAGCAATTGTTTATTACAGGGGTCGGCAACCAGACTTTTAATTAATATTAAAATTCTTGACTACTGATCTAAACCAATAATAATAATACCAATAATAATCAACAATAGTCATTTAGCTAAAGACTAAAAATTGATTAGCAATTATCATTATGAAAAATTGTTATCAACAAATTATCATCATAATGATCATATGGTTCACATTCTTCGAAAATTTGAACATTTTTAAATAATCATAATAATTTTAAAATGCCCGCTTTTTTATTAAAAATCTTATATCTATAAAATATTTAACTTTATATTACATTGTACTTCCTCTTTGAATTCATTATTTAGAAGAGATCTAAATGAAAAATTACAATTAGATATAAAAATATGTATAATATATATGGTTTATAGTCAAAAAATATAAAATAGTTTATGATACCATAATAAAACAATTAATAATTTAAAAAAATAGATTGCATGACTAATAATGATAAAAATTTATCAAGCAAGTTTATATTTGCACAATCTGACCACTTTTGTCGCTGTTATTAGAATTTTTATGAAAATATAGCCATAAAAATAATCAAATTATTGATTAAAATAAATGAATGTGGAAATAATATAAAATTGCATGAAAAATTATTTCAAAGAAATTATTTGATAAAGACTGGGATTCAATTCTGGTTAGGATCACACAAATTGTGATTTTAAGACAAAAAAATTACATAAATTATAAGTAATTTTTTTAAAGAAATTTTAAATGATAAATACAAACTGTTTTGCATTTAAAATACTATTAATATTATATTTAAAAATAGTTAAACCTTTTATATATCTTAATAATATAAAAATTCGTTGTACTCTAACATGAACGAGTTATATAGCTCTTAATAAGTTATATAGCTAAAATAATAAAACTAAAATACATTTAGATATGAAATGTGTTAAGTTCTAGTTCATGGCTTCTAAAACTATGGGTCGAGACCCCATTTGGGGTTGTGAGAGATTTTAATGTCAAAAATTTATATCATTTTATAACATCACGTCTATTAATTTTTGTTTTACAATAAATTCTAAAACTATATATTTTCATATCTATATATGGGGCCGTTCAAGTATTACGTAAGCACTATAGGGGGGCGGGGGGGTTATTGATTTGCTTATTTTGCCTATTTTTGGTAAGAAATTTGCTTACTTTTGATGACAAAGGGGAAGGGGGGGGGGTAAATAATTGTAGTAAATCTGCTTACGTAATACTTGAACGAACCCTATGTATATTGCTACTAAATATTATTAGTAGTATTGGTAATAAAAAAATCTTCTAAAAATATTAATTTCTCTTTTTTTATATTTGTGTGCGGTCGTCAAGAAACTGGCAATCATAAATGGGGTCGCAAATAGCAAAAGTTTAAGAAGCCCTGCTCTAGTTTATTATATAAAATATTAAATATTCTTTATTTTAAATTTTGATTAATATCTGATTTTACGATCATTTGTCAAAACAGTTAATTAATTAATTAATTTCTTAATTAGTAATCATAAGTAAATCTAGCCTTTTACTTACTCTCCGACCCTGATTATCTACAGACCAAAGGTCTCCAGGAAGCATATCGAGAAGTCGCAAATGATACATTAATTTTTTACAAGATTAAAAAAATCTAAGCCAGTTTAATCTAGTAAGTAGGAAAAAATCTTGAATTATTAGCTACCCATACACTAGCGTTCTTTCATGCAGTTCTTTCCGTTGACGGTTTTTCCTGTCAGATTACCAAAGGGAAAAAAATCTGTTGATCACCCACTAACACAAACTGTTTCCTACCATCTTTCTTGTCGTATTTTCCTGTTAGACTTGTCATCTCACATTCATGAGGAAAATAATCCTGTTACAGCACACTAACGTAAAATATATTTTCTGCAATCTTTCTTCCTAAAAGTGGATCTGTACGGAAAGCATGTTGGTTAGTGTGTAAATTTATCATTTTTAGACACATCTATCCTGACGATCGATCACTTTACTTTTGACAAAAGGATTTTGCTAATTGTGAAACGATAAATTTACAGAGTGTATAGTGCTGAGTACTAGTGCGGTTATATAAAAAAATATTAAATAATTTTCTATTTTGCATTATTATTATTTATGGAAAGAAGACGAAGAATTATTGCTATCACATGTGCTGGGTTAGTAAGTGAAGGCTTCGTTTTTAAGCAACAAAGAAAAAAGAAAAGACGTGCCTGGTCCAAAACATGGTTACTGCAACGAGCGAAATACGGCGATATGAAGCTTTTGAAAGAACTAAAAAGAAATGAACCCGACGATTTTAAAAATTACCTAAGGATGAGTGCAGACGTGTTTGACAAGTTGTTGAAATTAGTTGGCCCATATATACAAAAACAAAATACTCAAATGAGAGATAGTATACCAGCAGAAGAGCGACTTATTGTAACGTTAAGATTCTTAGCTACTGGAAGAAGCTACGAATGTTTAAAATTCAGTAGTGGCATTTCTCCGCAATCATTAGGTCGCATAATTCCCGAAACATGTAGAGTCATCTATAAAGTTCTGCAAAAGGAATATATGAAAGTAAGTACAATACCTTGTGCAAAAAGTCCTCTCTTTATTTTAACAAATACAAATAAACTAAAAAACTCATCCTAATTATAACAAGAAAACGTAAAAAAATTATATAATTGTTATTCACGACCTGCTGAGGAAAAATAAGCTCGCAAACCTCCCATAGGGCTAACATTTTCAGCAGGAGTAGATTCCGCTGTGGAATAATTGTTTGATAGGGAAGGAGACGGAAAGGAATTAGACGCTAATGAGGAATGGGCCGAGGACCCTGGCGACACATGAGAAAAATTATTAGAAGGATAAAGTCCTACATTACTGTAGGTTACATCTACGAATTCATTCAATTGACCCATTATTGCCTTATTAAGTACTTTAGTTAGCAATGCTTCAGCATACATCTTTTGTTCTGGGTTTACGACTTTTTCCAATTTTGCACTTATGTATTGACCCAGGGCATCATTTTCTGTTGGTTTGGAGTTTAGTGCCTCAGTACACTTTGCAAGAAATAATTTCCGCTCCCTGTCTTCACAGATTTTTTTGTTTTGTGCAGGGCTATGACCGTCTGCATTCCTATATCTCTTGTTGTTGGTGTTAATATTAGTATTAACCACTGACTCTACATTATGTGCTATTCCCTAAAAAATATTTATATGTTACATACTTCGAAGATAAGTTTTTACTTTTTTAACACATATAACTTTATTTTTAGTTTCCTACTACTACAGCAGAATGGAAGAAGATTGCGGAAGATTTTGATACCCGTTGGCAATTTCCTAACTGTGGCGGAGCAATGGATGGCAAACATATTAGAATCGCATGTCCGCCAAACACAGGAGCACTTTACTATAATTATAAAAAATTTTATAGCATTGTGTTGATGGCATTAGTAAATGCAAATTACGAGTTTGTTTATGCTGATGTCGGAAAAAATGGAAGAAATTCAGATGGTGGTATTTTGGAATACACTAAGTTTTATGACAAACTTATCAACGATCAGTTAAATATACCACAAACAGTAGATAACATCGAGCATCTCAACTTCGTTTTTGTGGGAGATGAGGCGTTTGCCTTGCATTCACATATTTTGAAGCCATTTAGTCAAGTGGAATTGACCTATGAAAAACGAATTTTTACTTACCGATTATCCAGGGCTAGAAATGTTGTTGAGAATGTTTTTGGACTTGTTGCTTCTCGATTCAGAGTGCTTCATACCGCAATTGCCTTGAAACCGGAAAACACAACATTAGTTATAATGGCAATTTGTGCTCTGCATAATTTTTTGCGGCGCAACAGTGCATCATATTTCAGTCAGAAAAGTGTGGACTCGGAAGATAAAAGCTCTCATGAACTACGCAAAGATGGGGATTGGCGAACTGATACTGGTGACTTTTATGGACTGCAGAATTTAACTCGTAATATGACTTTGGAGGCAAAACGCAGCCGCGATAGATACCTCCATTACTTCAACGGTGATGGTAGTGTTCCTTGGCAACATGCAATGGTGGCAAAAGGGAAAGCATAATCAAGAAATATATTGGTTTATGAGTAGAAATTTATAATAAGATTTTTCAATTACCTATCTAATTTTGTAATAAAAATGAATGATAAAATGATTGTAATGAACATACTTCGTTGGTTTCATTGCCTTCGTTGGGCTCGTCTATTTCCTCCACAGGTTCTTGAAATGGGCTATTTGTTGACTCATTGATGTTGTCACAACTACTGGTTGGTAGTTCATGATCTACTAAAAACATCAATAACTTGAAATACCACAAATGTGATTTATAATGTTCGTCAACACCTCTGCCTGATCGCTTTGACTTTTCGACCTTTAAATAATATTAAACTATTTACTATTTTGCACCCTTTTGGGACAGCTATCTATGTATAACTACGAGTATTAACAAGTGTATACTTGCCTTTTTAAATTCTTTGCGGAAGGATCCTCTAATTGATTGAATTTTTTGTTTTACTGTTTTGTGGTCAGCATGTGAATCGTACTTTCTCCAAATCTTTAGCAATTCCAAGTAGCCTTTATTTTTTAAATTACGGTTTTGGTATAGTTCTTTATTCTGTATCTGCCACAAAGCTGGATGAGCTCTATAAGTCTCAATAAATTCTTTCAAAATCCCTTTTGGGACATTTCTTATGTCACCTTTTTCACTTTTCTCTTCACAATCATCATCGTTCAGTTCGGTTACTTGAGTCAATCTCAATTCTTCCTCCATATTAATATTAATATTATTTATTATTCACAAAAAAACAATAATATTATTATTGCACAAGAACAACCCGTGTCCAACCACGCAACAAGAAAGAACAACGCGACTACATAACCTGCGCGAAAACTACGTGCCCACTAACTATGTCTTGGGCAGGAACGTCGAGACATCCCCGAAAGAAATTAGTAATGCTGGAGCGTCATGTCACGCTTCACTAACACACAAATCTTTCCTTCGGGAATCCCCTTTCCGTCAGGAATAACGGTTTTCCTAGAGGAAAGAACGCTAGTGTATGGGTAGCTATTTTGAATAATTTATCTCGTACACCATTAACGCACAACGCGCCAGTCCAGAGGTCAAAAACCCTAATATGGAATCAAATTAATTGTCTTGATTTGAATTTAAAATTAGCAACTCCATATTGTATGAGTAAACTCATGTTTGGCATTTATAAACAGCACTTTATACTTCTGCCCACATGCTATTATATTACATCAAATTAATTATATTTTGATAATTGTTACGCTTTTATGTTGTATAATATGGTTATGAAAAGATACCGATATAGAATTGAATTTTATTAATAAATAAAAAAGTTGTTCAGGCGTAAGTGATATTTAAATATCTTAGATAAGATTTTGTGTTAAGCATTTCATGCGGAACTTTTAGATACTTTCAAAACAGTATATAAATATAAATAAGTAAATAATTATGAATATAAGCAGAGTACACTCTTTATTGCATTTAAAATAGAATAACATTAATAGAAATTTAATATGCTAAAAAAATAGCGATTTGTTAACTTTTATGGAGTCAAATTGAATTTATTTTTTTGGCTTTATTTATCACCTAAATTGATAAAAATAGTATATAGTATGTAATATTTAAATCAAAATTCTTTGTCGATTATCTAAGTTGACTTTTTGAATGAAACAAGTTAGGACATCAGATGGTGTATTTAAAATTTTGCAAAATTATATATTATTCTTACTATTTTTTACATCAGATATTTACAACTATACCAAAGAAATACTTTGCAAAATCATATAAACTCTGCTAGACTAATTTCTCAAGAAAGACATTATACGACACCATAAAAATATGCATAAGTTGATTTTTCTAGTAAATTATTCAGAAACGAATTTTGCTGACTTTTTGCTTTTCATGCATCATATAATTAATTTATTCTATTATTCATTATACACGAGAATGGTACATAGTTAAAAATGAAATAATTTTAACCCTTTCCACTCGGATACCGCCGAAATAGTTTCAATTTTGAGTTTTCATTGCCTTTCAAATTAATTCTGAATGCTCTTGTGTTAATGAAATGCAATAAAGATTAGCTTAGTAATAATTATAACGTCATTTAACCTCAATAAGTAACCTTCATGCGTTGTATTTACAAAATAGGAAGTTAATATAGATAAAGATAATGAATAAAATTTGTCCCTTTTATAGTAACGAATCATGGCAATACTTACAATATTATTTTATGTACATATATGAATTCATTAATTATTATGAATTTATAATAGGCGAAGCAAATTTAATTGAGCGGTTTCTGCTTAATGTCTTAATTGACTCATGTCTTAGTCATACAACAAGTTGCACTATTTGCAGCATATGCTTTCAAAAACATTTTTTATAGTTTTGCATTTGATCTACCAATAAGGACGCAATATTGGTAATTGGCCCAAGGCCCAAGATTCAAATATTGCGCCACCATTCACCCGCCACCTGACCACGAAATACTGGGGCACTCGTCGAATGTTTATAATAGAAAATGGCAAAGTTAATAACAAAAATTATTGGAATTCATATTTGGACTTTTGTGCATTTGGACGAATTATTTGACTTGGATCAATTAACTTCTACTCCACCAATTAAATAAAGTGCACTAGGTCGCAAGATTAATGGTACAATTTTAAAACTTACATGTATTATTTTTATATCTAATTCAATAAAAAATTCTATATTTATTTTATGATGTTCGACACAAAGATCTTTTACAAAAAAACTCTATTACAATGCCATAAAATGATGTTATGCATGTAACCCCTTTCTGTGTAAAAGGTCGCACTGATGATGCCAACAATATGTAGGTTCTTTCTGCTACTAAACAAATTGTTACTAATCTGTGGAGGCTGATCAATATAAACAGACGTAGATCTTTGATATATTTATTTATTTCATGATTTCTTGTACTCTTTATACATAACTTTAACAACTGAGTTAAATAAGGCATATAATTGAGTATAATTAAGGTATTGAACTTGAAAGACGAATAGACCCATACTGGTCTGGAATCATAATGACTATTATTGCGTAATTAGTACTGCGTTGTTTGTATTCTGACTGTTATATAGTGGTTTATAATATTATTTATAATTATTACGAATGGGTAGATACCCTTTACATAAAATATAATCGCTGAAGTTAGCAACTTTTCTGTATTTGATGACATAGATTATTATGTTATATATGTATGTATTTATGTATGTATGTATATAGACGGTTTTCTTAGATCCATTTATTACAACAACAAACAATAAAATTTATGTGATTGCTTTTGCAGCACGAGATCAATGATCTAACAGAATAACATTATACGTTTGCCGCTTTACTAATTAAAACCAACAATTAATATTAGTATTTTATACTTTAATATATTCATATAAAGAATTTGTATTAAGTGATATCATACAGAAACAGTTTTTTATACAAAGAATCAACAAATCTGTACAATGTATAATATTTATTAACTCTATATTTTGTATAAATTAAATAATTTATACGATATGAATAATGTTATATCCGAAAAGCACGAGTTACTTTCATGCAATTTTGTAAGACGAGTAGTTCAAGCTACATCACTAATTAATCTCGTATTTTTATTTCACTTTTAAATACATTTGCTGTAACATTAAATTGCAGGCGTTGCGGAAGAAAAGTTCGTAAAATTATTATTTTATTATTGCATAACTATACGGAACCATCTGTGAGCGATTTTACCGAAATTTTATATATTGATTTGTGTACAGTCTTTTTCTATTCATTAAACAATAACGTCATGAAATTTAATACGAATTTCATAAAAATCATATCAAAACGTCTATTATATCTGCGCAAGTTATTAGAATTCCACATTGCATTCAATTGAATGACGCCAATATTTGGAAAAATATATTACTATTTATTAAAAAGTCGATATTTTGTTTGTATTACGTTTGCACATATGTGAACGTAAGTGATAAAGACGTTTGTGTGCTTGTTCGATATATTTTATTTGTTTATAAATACGTAATCAAATTATTCAAATAAGTACTAATTAAAAAGAAATTAATAAAGACAGATTTGATTATAAAAACGTGAAGCATAATAGAAGTGGAATTGTGGTATTATGAAGAAATTTTTGCAATATGTGTAATTAAACCTAAAACGTTTAGGGCTTTGAAATATACGAAGATTAAAACTTTAACTAAAAATATATAATTTTTATGCTAAATTCAGTGTAACTGAAGATTCTATGGAACTTTATACTACAAGCAATAGATTTAATTCGAGTATTTAAAATAAAGTGAGTCAACTATATATTCTGAGAATTTATGTGTACAAGTGACTGTATACTCTATTCTTATTAGAAATACTGTGTTATAATTTCATCAATATCAGAAGATATATTGCATTAATAACTGATTCTATAAGGGTCCAGAAGAAATTACATTTTCTGGTTAAGTTAATTGTGATTTCTTCGAAAAAATTGTTGCATGGTAAGTTCAATAATTTTAATAATAAAGAGAACATATATGTATATAAATATTTATAGATACAGATATGCCTCGGAGGGTGCAAAGTACACAAGTCGTGGCAGAAATTACTTAACTTTACTTAATGATAAAAAATTCATGGTGTTGACAAGTTAGATGTATAAATATTAGTGCTAATTTCTAGTGTTGTGTACACATCCTTAGATGTAAACTACCAACGTTAATATCCACTGGTGATGACATTAAAATGAATTTCGAAAAGATTAATTTTCGAATTAAAGATTAATTAATAAATCTTTGCTTTTTATTCTTTGATGTATCGCCCCACAAGAACTTACTCATAATATTTATATATAGACATTAGGGCGGGTCGATTTAAATTTCAATTAGACACATATGATTTTCAGATTCTAGGGATCAAAATAAGATACTTTGCTGAAGAAATCATAAATCTAAACTGAATTTTAATGTCTTTTGCATTGACCCAAAGATAAGGGTTAAACTTTGAAAAACTTCTTAGCGGGGGTCCTATGGGGTGAACCGCGGGCATACATTTAGACGCGATTCGGGCACTCTGAATGGGTCAAAATGGAATTTTTCAAATTTTAACCTTTATTTTTGAGTCAATGCACGGGACATCAGAATTAATTTTAGAGGTGTGGTTACTTCAGCAAACAATCTTATTTTGATTTTTAGTATTCGAAAATCATATGTCTTTTTGTGACCCATACAAATCGACCCACTCTAATATATATAGAGATATTATACTCTTTAGTAGAGTTTTATATCGTTTTATAACATCGGCAAAATTAATCTTATCACAGTTGAGAAATAATAAATTCAAATCACAACGAATTATTTATAAACAATGTTGGGTGAGTGAAAGAAATATTAAAAAAACGTCATACACACTTATTCAAACTTTTAAATGTATCGTAATGTAATTATTTGAATGTGAATGTATTATGATAGATAGTGTTTATTATTAGAAATAAACACTAGAGTATTTATTATTAGAAAATTATTATTAGAATAAATAATAAAAAAATTATATTAATATGTTTTAGATCACCTTAGAAAAATATCGTATATTCTGTTTCCATGTGATAAATAATAAAATTATTCTATTTTATTGTGAATGTTCTGAAATTACTAGCTCAAATATTAATAAAAATTGTAAATTTATGCGTAAAGTATATATTTGATAGTGGTTTCTGCACTAGTATTTTTACATTG